AGAGAGAGAGAGAGAGAGAGAGAGAGAGAGAGAGAGAGAGAGAGAGAAAAGAGAGAGAGCGAGAGAGCATGTTACATCCTCGTGTGAAGTTCTCGAGCCACGGTGGACCAGCATTCTACACACACATCATTAATGATCAATCTCCCTCCACACCAAACCCCCCTCTCCTATGTGCCCTGGAGATGCAAAGATAGATGGAGCTGCCCAATCTACTCCCTTCTACTGACACCCTAAAGCAGTTGGAGGACCCAGTTCTCCAGCTTCAGAATTTGTCCCTCCTCCTTCCTCTTCCCCTCTTTTAGAAACTATTACCTGAATAGCTAACTTCTGAGACCCTGGAAGGGCCTGGAAGCCCTTCAGCTCCTCAGCAAGGTGGGCTTAATTAAGGTGGAGGATACCTTAAAGACCCTATTTGCCTTCAAGGTCATTAATTTCCAGAAACTCCAGAAAGCCTACCCTCCCTCCACCCTTATTTCCTCTGTTTTCATGAAGCTCCACTAACAGAAGGTCTCTTAGAGCAAGACAGAAGGATTAAAGCAGATTTGGAAACTTAGGTCTTGTGCCTTTAAAAAAAATCCATTTATCTTTAAAGGGGGCATGCTCCATTCTCTTTCATGCAAGGTGGTTTTGGAAGAATCACCGAGGAGCTGTGAAAGCTGAGTATTTTTATTACTTACAATTTGGCTTCCCTATGATGGCTTAGTTTCACTGATATCTACACAGATGTTTGTGCCCACACACACACACATCACTGTATGGTTCTATCTCTCTATATGGTGAGATTAGTATGGCTCCCTCTCTCCAGCCCCCAGTAATAATGGGGCAGTAATGAATTTCCTTCATAGATACGAAAAAACACAATGCAATAATTGTAAGTTAGAAGGCCATCCCTGCCTAAGACAAATAACACTGACCTGTTTAGCCATCTTGATCACTGCAGAATTAACAAAGGCAAAAATAGCCGGGTGTGCTTGGCTTGCCTCGCTAGGAGAGACTAGAGGGGCTAGCTTAGAATATGCCTTGCTCTTTCTTCCTGAAACCCTAGAACCTTTTTTCAAGTCAACTCCCTTAATATTTCCTTCTCCCAGGTACTGTGTACGGCACCCATGGCCGAAGGGGAAGGCAAACTTACACGAGATACCAAACCCTCGAATTGGAAAAGGAATTCCATTTTAACCGATACCTGACGCGAAGGCGCCGGATTGAGATTGCCAACGCGCTCTGCCTCACAGAACGACAGATCAAAATATGGTTCCAAAACAGGAGAATGAAATGGAAAAAAGAGAACAAACTCATAAATTCCACACAGCCCAGCAGCGAAGAAACAGAGGAAAAGGCAGGGGGAGTAGAATAACGAATGCATCAGAAAAGTTCCCAGGCCTTCCCCCTTCTTAGCGGCTTTCCCCCTTGTGTTCTCATTCTGCCAACACTATTTCTGCCCTAAGTATTCACAGTCTGTTGTTTTCTAAAACTGGAGGAGAGGCTATATATTTGCAATCAACTGTGTATTTCTTAGAAGAAAAAAAATAGGAGTCATTTAGAAGTCTGTTGTGTACATAGCCCCTCTTTTCCTTCTCCTGTAAAGCCGGTTAACCAGGCGCCCCACCCCCAGAAAGGACCCTGGTTTCTGTTGAGCATCTCGGGTTGTCCGAGTGTCTTCTAGTAGCTGTTATTTGCTGCAGAAGCGAAGAGTTGCATGGTTTAGCATCTGAACTGTGAGCTGATTTGGAGGGGGAAAGCACCAATCCGAGGTTTCAGCCCTTTCAGAATCCCATTTACGGTCGGGGTCGTCTCCTCCCTACGGTGTTTGGGAGCTGGCTGTCCAGCGGGGTCTACAAAAAGTTTTACGGCACTAGGCAACAATGCAATAAGACCTAAACCAATAAATCTGCTGAACAAAGGAGGAAAAGACAGTTGGGGTCCCCCGCACCCCCTCCCCCCAAAAAGACCTCCAAGAGTCCTTTCGCCTCAGGCAGCAATGGGCAAGGGAAGAACTTTCAGGAAACAAAGAATCGCCCAGAAGGAGCTATAAAACTAGTGTTCCCAAATGAAATCGGCTAACCCTAACGGGAAGAAAAGCAACCTTTCTAGGAGGGCAAGCAAATCTGGACACTGAACTTTGCAGGCTCGGGAGAAGCCCGATCTTTCTGAGGGTGCGGTGCCACAGGGAGTCCCAGCTGCAGTTCCATAAGACCGGGCTTGCTTCCTCTCCCCTTTTTATGTCAGTAAGAGGGAGGCAGTTTTTATTAGGTGGCACATTGGCCTGAGCTTTCCGCATTTCCAAGTGGCTCACAGGCTTGGTTCAGACAGTCCCTTATCTCTCTGCTACCTTTGTCATTTACTTTCGAATTTCTAAGCCCAGGGAAATAAAGGCTACAGACCGACCTGCCCTGAAATGCTTCCATTCTGGCTCTCCTTGAATTTGTTCTCATTTGAGCAGGATTCTCAAAGCAGGTCGGTCAAGCTATCTCTGCATCGTCCCATCTTTGCTTCTGCATTTTCGGGGAGCCAAGCCTGGGCACAGGCGTATGCAGCAGGAAACCCCTCTGCTTTCACGGCTGGCCAGACCGGGAAGCTGGAATACGAAGATTTTCTCTGAGCTTAGTCCTTAAAGCGATTGGAATAGCTATCTATGAAAATCATATTTACTTGTGAGGGGGAAAAAATCCACTGGGACTATAAAACTGTACGGAATTTGACCTCGCCTCGGAAAACTCAACACAAAACCTATCTTTACTAGATGTTTGTCATTTAAAATCGGCAGGGTAGTGTCCCTTATGCGCCTACAGAAAAGAGGTCTTTGATTGCAGCTGCTGGGGTAGGGGGGAGATTTATTTCTCCAATTGGTTCAATGTACATCACCCTAAAAAAAGAGGTGATTTTTGGTTTTTTGCAGAATTCTGACCTGACAGCAGGACAAAAAAAAAAAAAAAATCCAACTTAAAAAAAAAAAAACAAAAAAAGCAACCCACACCAACAATTAGAGGGGAAGAAAGGAAAAAGAAAAGCAAGTGAATGCGAAATAATAAAAGTAAACAATTTCCCCCAGTCTTTTGCATTATCGCTAGTTTGGTGATCTGCAGCTGATAGTCCTTACCATTGGTACATACTAATGGAACGGCGAGGGAAATGCAATAATTTTGCTATAATGGGCTGTAACCTCAATTCGACCCCAGCCCTGCGGACCCTGGTCGGCAGGGTGAAGATCTAGTTTATCTCCAGAGGGTGGCGCAAGAGTCCGACTGAAAGCCAGGAGCTGGCGGCGGGAACGCGCCCGGGGCGCGCGCGCCGAGCCTCCAGCATCCACCCAACTCCCCCATTAGTGCACGAGTTTACCTCTAGAGGTCATCAGGCAGGATTTACGACTGGACAACAAAAGCACGTGATTTGAAGTCGTACCCCATATTTGGGTGCCTACGTAGGAGGGAACCAAGTACATGTCCCAGTCATTTCCATAATTCATCATAAATTGTGCAAGGGTGCTATAGACGCACAAAACGACCAAGAGCCACAAATCAAGCACACATATCAAAAAACAAATGAGCTCTTATTTTGTAAACTCATTTTGCGGTCGCTATCCAAATGGCCCGGACTACCCGTTACATAATTATGGAGATCACAGTTCCGTGAGCGAGCAATACAGGGATTCAGCGAGCATGCATCCCAGCAGGTACGGCTATGGTTACAATGGCATGGATCTCAGCGTTGGGCGCTCAGCTTCCAGCCACTTTGGTACCAATGAGAGAGCCCGCAGTTACCCCGCCAATGCCACCTCGGCGTCCACGGAGCCCAGGTATAACCAACCTGCCACGTCGTCTCACTCGCCTCCACCTGACCCTCTGCCCTGCACCGCCGTGGCCGCTTCGCCTGTCAGCGAGAGTCATCACGGGGTGAAAAACTCGCTAGCTAACTCCACGAGCACATCGTCCAATTCCAGCAGCACTCACATAAGCAGAGAAGGGGTTGGCACCTCGTCTGGGACTGAGGATGACACCCCAGCGAGCAGCGAGCAGGCGAGTGCCCAGAGCGACCAAAGTCCAGCCCAGCCAGCCCAGCCACAGATCTACCCCTGGATGAGGAAGCTGCACATAAGTCATGGTAAAGCTAACCTTGGGGTTTCTCTCTCTCTCTCTCTCTCTCTCTCTCTCTCTCTCTCTCTCTCTGTCTCACCGCGATTGCCACGAGCTCTGTTTTTCACTGCCCTGTCTCTCTTCTCCATCTCCCTCCCTATCGTTCTCTCTCTGCCATTCTCTTCCTCTCTCTGTCTCTCTCTTTCCTCTCCCTATCTTTCTCGTCTGAATCTCTCTCTTTCCGTACATCTAGTTCGCTCAGTTCCGCTGTGCTTGGAAATGGGGTAAATCAAATGGCCGCTTTGCAAGGCAAGTTAAGGCATAAAAGAAACATGAAAAAGAAAGAAAGAAGGAAAGAGGCAAGGCAAGGGGGAAAGGGGGAGGCGAAAGAAATCCCGCAACCTTTCTTCCTCACTCCCAACTCAAACAGCTGAGGGGGCAGAGAGGTAGATATTGGGAATGAGCGAAGTGAATAGGTGCTTGTCACGGAGGATAATTTATTAGCAGGGCTATCCTGGGGAAACAGCGTTACTAATTATTACCCCCCCCCAAAAAAAAGGAGTTTAGGAAATAATAAGGGCAGGAGCTCGCAAGGTTATGAAGATGGGGGGTGGGTGGGAGAATCGGAGAGTAGGCATGGGTTGGGGAAGAGAAAGAACCCCGGGCGTGCACGTTGGAACAGAGGGCAGGCTGGGGGGGGGGGGGGGTGGATTCGTTCTTCCCTGTAACTTTGAGGAAGGATGACCCGGGGGCCACTTTTCCTATCGTAAAATGGCCATTATTAGGGGGCTTTCAGGGCATCGTAAAAGTGAATCTTATGAAAGCAGGGAGGGCTGTGCCTCTGGGAAACTAGCTTCCTGGGGTGGGGAGGCAGAAAGCAGGCGGCAGAGGGGGAAAAAAAGCTACAGCTCCAAGCCTTACATCTGCTGATTGTTCGCCCGTCGCCAAACCGTATTGTTTTCTCTCCAGAAAGGAAAGGAGGAGGAAATTGGGGGGGGGGGAAGAAGAGAAGTGGAGAGAGGACTTGTTGAGCTTGTCCCCCCACACTGAAAAATAACAATCGTACAGTCTAACGGTCCCGCTGCTCTAGTGGGCTGCTCAGGACCTTGCGGGCAAATCACTGCGGAGTTTTAAAACCAGTGACTTTTCTGTTGCAGACAACATAGGAGGACCAGAAGGCAAAAGGGCTCGGACTGCATACACCCGCTACCAGACCCTAGAGTTGGAAAAGGAATTTCACTTCAATAGATACCTGACCCGCAGAAGAAGAATTGAAATAGCACATGCTCTTTGCCTCTCGGAGAGACAAATTAAGATCTGGTTCCAAAACAGGAGAATGAAATGGAAAAAAGATAATAAGCTTAAAAGTATGAGTATGGCCGCGGCGGGAGGAGCTTTTCGCCCCTAATAATCCCAGAGTTTAAAAGTACTGAGCAGTATTAGTGGAACCTGCGCTTAGTGTCAGTACTAAAGGTGACTTTCTGAAACTTCCTCGTGTTACTTCTGTGAAGAAATACTGTCCTTGTCACCCCCCGCACCCACCTTTTAATCATGAGCCTGTTTATGAGCATTATTACATAGCCTGTTTAAGTGTATAAGTAGATCTGCTTTCTGTATATTTCTTTGTCCTGAATGGCTTTGTCTTGAAAAAAAAAATAGATGTTTTAACTTATTTATATAAAGCGAGCTGTGTTACTTGAAGTAACTGTAAAAAAGAGAAAAAGAACAAAACCACAAAAAAAGAGAGAGACTCCCCCCCCAACCTTGTTTAGTGCCAATGTCGTGTGTTGCACTCAATCCGTCTCTTTAACTGTGCATGTGCGTGGAAGTGTCCCTGTCTGAATAGCTCCAAGCTGTTAAAAATATTTTTATTCTAACTACCTATACTCCCTGTGTAACTAACTAATGCTGTTGTAGAGGTGACTTGATGAGATACAACTTAACTTCTTAAACGTGTAGTGAATAGTGAATCTGTGACGGCAAGTGTGACTCGAAGCAGTGTCTGTTTTGCTGTGCCTTTGTACAACTCTTTGCACGAACTCCTAAAAAAGTGGCTTCTTATACGCGCAGCTTCAGTGGTGTCTGTTTTTGTGAACAAAGTTACAAATATAGTCCAAGTCTGGCTGTTTAAAGCAAACTGTGATAAGCTCTTTTTTTTTTTTTGTATTTGTTTTTAAAGAAAAAAAACCTGACTGGAAACAAAAAATAAACTTTCTATTGTAAGTTCTCGTGAGCTGGTTTGTACCAAATGGCGAGCTTGTCCTTTCTCTTTACCTCTCCCCCTCCCCAGACTCTGAGACTCAGGGTCTGCAGTGAGCCCCAGGGTCAGCGGAATACCTGGCCAGCTAGGGCCCGCTGGTGCAAAGGAGATAGCTAGAGTGTACCCGCCAGTGAGCTCTCTGCCACTGAAACTTTCCACTGAGTACCTCCTGAATGAGAGGTAGAAATTGCAGGGCAGAAGCCCCTGTCACACAGCCTGCCTTTCATTTATCCAAATGTTTGCTATTTGGGAAAAAGGAAAAGAAAAGGAAAAAAAAAGATAGGAAAGAGAAAAAAAAGAAAGAAATCATGTCCTTTGTTAAAGTGCCCTACTTGGCTTCACGACATCTCTACTTCATTCTTAAACTGCTTTTTGCTTTCAACTAGTTGGAGATACTGGTATTTCCAGGATCCCAACCTCAAACCCTCTTAGCCACAGCCAGATCCTATCACCACCTTCCCCCACTTTACCCTTAACAGATAGGATTCCTTTTGCTACAATTAATTCGCTACAAATGTAATGTTACTTACCCCCATCCTAGCTCGATTGGTTAACTCTTCTGAGCTTCCAAGAGCAACTAAAGATTTGCACATTTACTGAGTGCTTACATTGATGGCTTCCTTTAAAAGTTATAAAACAGTAAACTTTATAAGCCCCAGTTCCGGCTATATGACATTTGGGTGCCAAATGAATAGGGTTTTGTCTATGAATTAGATCGTAAAATCATCCATAGCACAGACAGATAGGCTCACTGGCTATAGAAAGTCACGTGGTGCCATTAAAGTAAGTTTTATGGTTTTGGGGAGTTGACATCCAACATTATATACCACATAACATATAATCTCACTGACGCTGGACTTCATTGGACTCTTTTACAGGCTACATGTGGCACCTGGTCATTCAAATGGTCAATTTTAGGGGCAGAAGTGCCCAAACCACGAATTCTCAAAACTCTCTGAAAAATGGCTCCTAGCAAGTTAAGGTAAGTTTGACTCGTGAGTCCCTTACAGTTTATTTGTACAGTGAACTAACTGTCTTTCAGTTCCTCTGTCTCTGTCTCTGTCTCTCTGGTTCAATAATCCTAAGGGTTGCCCCTGAATTCAAAAAAGTAGAACAGTTCACCCAGACTATGAATCTGCCAGCAAACTTGCTTCCCTTCCCAAACAAGAAGTGCTAACAGCAAGCTATGAAAATTTTACCAGTCCCATCCAAGTAAACCATGATAAGTGACTTTGTCAGAGATTGATTTTGAGGCCTAACTTTAATTACGTGGACTACCGCAGATGTTAATGACTTCCGCTGTTCTCTGAGTCTGGTCTCTTCAGTTTGCAAAAAGATGATTTTGTGTGTGTGTGAGAATGTGCATATGTGTATAGTGTATGTATATTTGTGGGGCGGGATGTCTGAAAAGCAGACTTTCAGGAAGCCCTTGTCCTGTATCTGGCTAAATCTTCTCTGAGCCCTTCTGATGATGGGTGAGTGGGGACTGGCAGCCTGGATCCTGAGGGTTCTGAACCAGGAGGGTTCAGGCTGCAGACTTGGAAAGGAGTCTGGGCTAGGGTACTCTGCTCCAGTATGAAGGGCTAGGAGGGACAGTGTTGACTTCCCAAGCCAGCTGGTTACTGCTTTCTTGTCTCACTGGGATGTGTTTGTGTGTATGGGGGAGACTATTGGAATATCCTTCCCGTTTGGCAAGGTCTGAATCCAAGGGGTCCTTACCCTACCAGCTTCTGTAATATTCTGGTCCAGGATACTGACTAGGAGGCAATTTAAAAGGCACTTTTCACCACTACAGGGCCACTCAACAGACTTGGATTGTAGAGACTGGAAATCATGTTATAGACAAGACAATAGATTGAGCATCCCTGGAAGTATAAACGCCAAGAGTTCTGGCCTTTGAGATAGTATCCTTCCTTCTCCCCCAACCCCCGACCCCCAACTGAGGGAGCTAGGCCTCAACTGCCTGTTTGCCTCTACATTCTTCTTATTTCAGTGGGGCTGTTCTCACCAGCCTGTGATTACTCAGCAATAAACTTTATGGCCGGATTTCACTCTGGTCTTTGAATTTCCAGAGCTGAATGAAAAGGGTAAAAGAATCCGTCTTTCTTTTCTTTTCTTCTCCTTCCCTTCCTTCCTTTCTCTCTTTCTCTTTATTTTTTCATTTCTCTTTCTCTCTCTTTCTAGAGTTACTATTTCAGTGCTTTTTGCTCTGAAAAGGTGATAGAACTGTCTATCTAGTTAGCAATTAGAAAAAATAGCACCTCTCCCTCCCACCTCCCATAACTCCACCCATTAAAACCTTGGCTCTGGAGTTTTGGGGGAAATAATGCAATCTTCAATGTCTAACTTAAAAGTCTTTCAGGGCTCTTGGGTTTGTTTTTCCTGACACTCCATAAAGGGGAATTTAGGGAAGAAATGAGTCGTTTGTCAGTAGGAGATTTCCGCCTTTCTTTTGTCAGCCCCTCACTCTGTTTGATCACGGACAATTTACATAATCTATGATTTTGAAAACAACCATTTCCAAAATGGCACCAGCGGCTCATTCTTTAGTGGAAAAAGGATTGTATTTTTCTATTTGATCCCTTCCTTCACCTACATTCACTAGCCTCCCTCTCTAGCTCACCATATTCTTCAGGGCAAAACCTCGTGAACTTTATTGTAATGTGACCTCATCTCGAGGTGGTGTGCTTGGCTAGATTCTGGGAGCAACATAGTCAGCAAATAACCCCAAAGTCCCTTCCAAAGGCACAGTGGAGTTCAGCCTGACTTCTCCAGCTGGTCTCTGGAATTAAGCAAAAAAAAAAAAAAAACAACAAATCAAATATTGTCTTTCTTAATGCTCTCCTCATTTAGGATCTGGATAGCTTCCTACAAGCAATCACTTGAGAGGCATTTTCAGTTCTCCTGAAGGGGACTTGGGATTCAGGGGGTTTAAAAACCACGCCAAACTTTATTGTATGGAGTTTACATTTTGACAGTGAACATCCATTCAGCAGCTTAGGAAACAAAAATTAAAGAAAAGCAAAGTTTCTAGGCAAATCCTAAATCTGTTTGGTCCAGACCAGTTCCTTTTGTTGGTTGGGGAAAACCTGAATCATATAAGTTATATTGTGTGACCCTCTGATCTGATCATCGAAATTCAAATGTCTCTACAGCTTGAGAAATGGAGATTTTGTTTGGGATTCCCCCCCCCTTTTTTCTTTATGAAGGTTGTGTGTGTGTGTGTGTGTGTGTGTGTGTGTGTGTAAAATCTTAGTTCTTTGTTTTGTTACCCAGACTTCTGCCTTCATTTTTAGAAAACATTAACTCAAGGATTCATTTTAGTGTCCTTTGATTAATCTAGTTGAATGATTTCTTGGTGGCCGAAATAACAAACAGAAAGGGAAGTGAAGGGACCTTGCCATATTCTAGTGGCCTAATCAGAGGAAGTGTGTAGAGACCCCTATGAATAGCTAGTTATCTAGAAAGTCGTGGGTATTTAGGGTTGAGGAAAACTGACTGACAAACAGGACTTAGCCTGATATCTGTTTCTACAAACTAACCAACAGTTCACCTGCTTTCTCTGAAATATTGGTTACAAATGTTACTGTCTTCTCTGGGTAGCAGTAGTCTTTAAACTGAATTAGAGGTTAAGATGGTCTCTTTTGTGGATACCTAGATCAACAAAGTT